CCCCAAAACCCCAAAACCCCAAAACCCCAGATTATATTTAAAAATTGAAAATATGGTAGGTTTAAACCCATGCAGAATCTTTTAGAATGCATTTATTTAAAAATATCAAAAATCAAAGCCCTGGTTCCAACCCTGATTTTAATTTTAGGAGCAAATCAACCCACAAGGATCACATCTCCCTTTAAATATTCTAGAAAATATGAAAAAAATGAAGTAAATCATGACATTTTTAAAGTTAAAATAACTTTTCAGAGATATATTACACGACTCATAGAGTTTTACCTCTTAATTACCTGCTGTAATAGGGAATGAGTTATGAAATAATACTCCAAAGAAACTGGTGGCTTTTCAACATAAAAATTATGGACTCCAAATGAACTACAACTCGATGAGGTAACCTTCAATAATAATCTATAGAGGTTCTTTAGGGTCATACCCTGAGAAATCACACCTGTTCACTAAGAAGAGTAGGTACCCAAACAGGAGAACTTCTCGGAACGAGAGGTAAGCTTTAGGTATAAATCTTAGGACAACCAACTTACCCAATCGTAAGAGAGGCCGTATGACTGACACTCCTTGGACCAAGCTCACTAAGTCTATTAATGGTACAATTTCTGATAATTTCTAGGAAATGTTTCGATTAATAAAAAGGAATCAAAATCAGGTTCATTTAGCTCCTTTGACCGGCCTCTGAGAGGTAAGATTCATTAAATGTTGTAGAGAAACAGCAGAAAGATGTTGAAAATTATTTTAGAAGCAGCTCATTTAGTATGAACAAAGCTGGATCAAGGTTTGGCAAATTCGATATCAAAAATTACCATGAAAGTAATTTGATTCTGAGGGTTTAGATGTGATAAATATTGATCAACTCAAGCCAATTCCAGTTCAGGCCAAGAATAGGTGTTTTAGTGGTGATAACATCCAGCTCTGATTCTTTCAAGATGGCTCAACATAAGCGAAACAGAACCAATATTCAGAACAATTTAGGCCTAGTTGTTAGAGAACCCAGGGTTTGTACTGTAATCATGACTATAGGGTGGCTCTAAGAATATTGATGTCATACTTCCAAAACAATCTCATATTGTATCACAAGATCCTAAAAATTTGGGCAAATATAATATTTCTGCTAGCTCCAAGGTTAGCTTTGTCGATCATTTTTAGAGGAAAAGTGGAAGCCTTCCCAAAAATTCTAATCAGCTCTATAAGAACAACCTTCTAAAGGAAATAGTTGATATTTCAATTCTTAACAGTTATGAGGTGAATAAAAAGCTTCTAGGGGCTCATATCTCCTCAGTAAGAATATTCAGTTCATGATTAGGAAAATATCTCTCACAGCCCAGTAAATCAAAATGGCTATAAGAACAGAAAGATGTTGAAGGTGCCTAAAATGGAGGATATTTATGGCCCTGATCAAAGCCCAAGGATCAAATTCACCTTTAAACTTAACCAAGATTTTCAATCATTGAATGAGTTTTATTTCACTCCCGCAGATAATTCTAGCTCAAAGCTTGGAGGGAAGAATAGTAAATGCATGTATCCGAGTAAGTTATAATTTTCTGATGAATTATTTGAGGCTTTTTAATCCAAAAAATGTTACCGTCAAAGGTCTAGATATTCTTCATAGATTTTGGAAAGATAAATCTCTATTACTTCATATAAAGAAATATCAAGGAACTTTCTATAGAACCCATAGGAGAAGTTGAGCGTATCTCTAGAATATATAAAGGCAAGAGACTTGCAAAGAAGTCTCTTAAGAGATTTCCTATCAAGAATAACCTTAGCTACGAAACAGACTCTGCTCCTAAATTTATGAAAAGCAGCAATGTGATGTGGAGACCATTGATTGGTGACAGTGAAGCAATCCAACTACCTGATAACTTCGAACATAATTTTGTTCAATTAGAGTAAGTGACTATTATCAATTTTTAGCCAGCCAAAAGTAAGAGCAAGACTATGAAACATTTTAGAAGAAATTGAAGATCAAGAAGATTCAGGATCTGAACTACAGCACTAATGAGTACCCTCTTGAGGATAATAAAAGCAGGTATTTCTCTTAGCCACATCTCTATAGTAACAGTTCACTCAGAACATATCTCTGTGATGCGATGAAGTCAAAGTACTAAGTTCAATTTCAGGAGCTCCCAGATTTTCCTTTACTTCATTCAAAGCCTCACTTAGGCTCCTAAAGTTCATAGGAGAGCGAGTAGACTTCTTTGAGGGGAAGAAAATTGCAGGCTAATTTGGGTTTCAAGAGTTTTGAGAAACGAAGGGGTTTTGGGGTTTTGGGGTTTTGGGG